TCTTTGGCGATCAGCCTTCTTTATGGTCCAGCTCTCACTTCCATACATCACTACTGGGAAAACCATAGCTTTCACTATATGGACCTTTGTCAGCAAGAGGAACAGCCATAGAATGATGGAATTGTTGAGTTGGAAGGGACCCTGAGGGTCATCCAGTCCAGCCCCCTGCAATGCAGGAATCTCAGCTAAAGCATCCAGGACAGATGGCCATCCAACCTCTGCTTAAAAACCTACAAGGAAGGAGAGTCCACCACCTTCCAAGGCAGTCCGGTTCTTACTGTCAAGAAGTTCTACCTGATGTTGAGTCAGAATCTCCTTTGTAACTTGAAGCCCTGGGTTCAAGTCCTGTCCTATTGCTATCCTACCTATAACCCCGTACTGCCATTCCCAACTGCAGTCCTGCCAACACAGAACTCTTTTGCAATCTTCTTCTGTTCTTTGGCGATCACTCATAGCCGAAGCAAGATCGTCTTCCATAAACACGGTTTTAAAAGTGAGTCCATAAGTGACTGTGGAGGCCAATTATGGATCCACAGATCCTTCCACAGTGGGGACATTGGTTTCTGGGCAAGAGTTGATCACGGTGAGGGTTTGCCAAGTGTGCCTTCCTCTTTGCACGTTTCTCCCTTGCGTCCTGAGTTTGAGTGCTTCAAAGCCCATGACACCTTTGGTCAAGGCTGTTCTCCAACTGGAGCACTCGCAGGCCAGTGTTTCCCAATTGTTGGTGCTTATACTACATTTCTTTATATGTGCCTTGAGAGAGTCTTTCAACCTCTTTTGTTGACCACCAGCATTACGCTTTCCATTTTTAAGTTGGGAATAAAATAGTTGCTTCGGAAGACGATAATCCGGCATCCGCACAACATGACCAGACCAACGAAGTTGAAGTTGAAGAATCATTGCTTCAACACTGGTGATCTTTGCTTCTTCCAGTACACTGGCATTAGTTCGCCTGTCTTCCCAAGTGATGTGTAAAAATTTTCGGAGACACCATTGATAGAAACTTTTGAGGAGTTGGAGATGGTGTTTATAAGTGGTCCATGTTTCACAAGCGTACAGTAAAGTTGATAGTACAATAGTTTTGTAAACAAGCATTTTGGTTTCCCTGTGAATGTCCCAGTCTTCAAATACTCTGCACTTCAATCAGGAGAAAGCCGCACTTGCAGAGCTCAGGCGATGCTGGATTTTGGCATCAATGTTGGCCCTTGTGGAAAGATAACTGCCCAGGTAGGAGAAGTGATCAACATTTCCCAGCGTTACTACACTGAGTTGGATTTGTGGCGCTGCAGAGAGGTTATTTTGTACATGTTGGTGCAGCACGCCTGCCAACACAGAACTCTTTTGCAATAAAATGATACAGTCACAAAGACTAGTATGTTGTGTTCCGATTTCATAAACCTATAGATCTGCTTAACTGGCAATATGTTCAGATTGGGATCCCTGCCAGCTCCTAGGAGCCAACGCCTAGGGGTTGATGGATCTTTGCCCCCACCCCCAAAAAAAAATATTTGAGGGGGCCAGGCATCGCCATTCAAATCGGTCAGGTGACCGATTATGTGTGGAAGGAGCCAATTTTGTAGACTCTGAACCCCTCCAGGAGCGGAGTTTGGGCGAGGAAGCTAATGGGGAATTCTAAGTCTGCAAACAGTTTAAATGAATTTGGTATATGTAAATAAACTCCTATGGAAGAGATGACAAAACGTGGAGGCAGTAAATCTATTGCCCCAGCAAGCAAATAGGAAAGTCCGTTTAGTAAGTTTATTTCCATTATACAAGTGGAAAAACTGAGGTCAGTTTATAAATGGTTGCATCTGGGGGGTTTTTTTTGGGGGGGTAGAAAAGGAAGCAAGGCATTTTACATATTTTTAAGCAGCTGTTTAGACAAGGTTTGTTTGCTTAATAATAATAATAATAATAATAAATTTATTATTTATACGCCACCCATCTGGCTGGGTTTCCCCAGCCACTCTGGGCTGCTTCCAACAAAATATTCAATATCCCTCCTTCCCTCTGTGGGTCCTTTGAATATTTTAATGAACTGCATATTGTAGTTCATCCCAATTATAGTCATCCAAAATGTCCAAAGTCCTTGTAACATCTCAAGAGTTATTCAAAGCCTGCCAAAGACTTCAAGTGTTTACAGTGTTCTTTCAAATACAATCTGTATTTATCCCATTCTCTGCTGAGGTTTTGGTCCTCCTGATTCCTGATTTTCCCAGTCAGTCTAGCCATCTCTGCATAGTCTAGTAGTATCATCTGCCAATCCACTTCCCCAGGCACTCTGGGCAGCTCCCAACAGATTAAAAACACAATAAAACATCCATAGTTAAAACAATGCTCATTCTGCACAAGCAAAGGGCTTCTCTCTCTTACTAATAAACCTGTTTAATCACCACCTCCCACCCCAACAATGAAGCCGGCTCTTTTCTCTCAGTTCCCTGACAGCCTTTAGCTGCATCCTGTTTTGCAGGAGCCTCTCAAATTTCGCAAATAGGCTAACGGGCCCAGAGCAAGAGGAGGGCATGCAGCTCCCAGCAACCTGCAGAAATAAGGAGGGCCCTGTGCAATTTAAGCCACCCCCTTTGCAACCTCTCTTCGGTTCATCTACAGGTCAGCGCCTTCCTGCAGGCTCCAGCGCCCCAATCCTGCCAGAGATCATCGGATCTCAGTGCGCCTCCCAGAATGACATTTGCTTGCTTGCTTGCTTAAGTTGTGTGGCCTTCAGTGCTAGCCAGCGGCCGGGGGGAGAATGAAATTGATGGATTGATTTCATTTATCTTCTTTGGCGATCCCTCCTAGCCAAGTAATATTGTCTTCTATGAACATGGTTTTAAAAGTGAGTCCGTAAGTGACTGTGGAGGCCAATTCTGGATCCACACGTCCTTCCACAGTGGGGACAGAGGTTTCTGGGTGTGAGTTGATCCCAGTGAGGGTTTGCCAAGCATACCTTCCTCTTAGCACATTTCTCCCTTGCGTCCTGAGTTCGAGTGTCTTCAAAGCCTATGGCACCTTTGGTAAAGGCTGTTCTTCAGCTGGAGCACTCGCAGGCCAGTGTTTCCCAATTATTGATGTTTATACTACATTTTTTTTATATTTGCCTTCAGTCTTTAAACCATTTTTGTTGACCACCAGCATTACGCTTTCCATTTTTATGTTGGAAATAGAGTAGTTGCTTTGGAAGATGATAATCAGGCATCCACACAATAAGACCAGTGCAACAAAGTTGATGTTGAAGAATCATTACTTCAACAATGGCGATCTTTGCTTCTTCCAGTACACTGGTATTAGTTCTCCTGTCTTCCCAAGTCATGTGTGGAAATTTCAGAGACCCCGTTGATGGAATCTTTTGAGGAGTTGGAAATGGGGTTTATAAGTGGTCCATGTTTCACAAGCATACAGTAAGGTTGGTAGTACCATAGCTTCTCTCATTCTCTGCAAAGAGGGACTGGTTGTTAAACCACTGTGGGAAATGCAACCCTCAGAGGAGAATGGGCGGTTCCTCACAACTGTCAGCACCCTTAGCAAACTACAGTTCCCGGGATAATCTGTAAGAAGGCATTGCTCCACATATGATATGTGGTGGACTTGTAAAAGGGTAAAAGAGTATTGGGAAATAATTTATAATAAATTGAAAAAAATGTTTAAAAGTTATTTTCCAAAAAAAAAAAAAAACAACACAAAAAACCCCAGAGTCCTTTTCCTTGGGGATAATTCAGATGGAAATCCCCAGGTGTCAAAAAAGGGTTATTTATGTATATCACTACCACGGCCCATGTTTTGTTTGCCCCCAAGTGGAAAACAAGCGAGGTCCCAACCAAAGGACAATAGCAACTAAAAATGATGGAATAAGCGCAGATTGCAGACCTAACTCATAGACTAAGAGAACAGGCAGAACATACATTTAAAGAAGATTGGGGAAATGTTTATTGAATATATGGCGGGGGGCAATTGTGTACACTTGGAAACATTGGCAGCATTAAGATCAATTCAACATTGTAAATAAGTTTTGATGGATGCAATGATGGAATACTGAATTGTTTAGTTTATGTAAAATATGCAGGGATTTATGTTATGCAAAATGGAAAGAGAAGAATAAGGGAAGTTGTTGATATTTTAAGGTTGTTTAAATGAATATTCTAAAATGTAAAACAGAAAAGTTTAATAAAGAATTATACCCCAAAAAAGCGAAAAGGAAGAAGGCATTGATGCTTAAAGTGGTATGATAGTGCTCTAAGTGCATGCTGTGATTGTAGCTTTATTGTTGTTGTTGTTCAGTCGTTTAGTTGTGTCCGACTCTTTGTGACCCCCTGGACCAGAGCACGCCAGGCACTCCTGTCTTCCACTGCCTCCCGCAGTTTGGTCAAACTCATGCTGGTAGTTTCAAGAACACTGTCCCACCATCTCATCCTCCGTCGTCCCCTTCTCCTTGTGCCCTCCATCTTTCCCAACATTAGGGTCTTTTCCAGGGAGTCTTCTCTTCTCATGAGGTGGCCAAAGTCTTGGAGCCTCAGCTTCAGGATCTGTCCTTCCAGTGATCACTCAGGGCTGATTTCCTTCAGAATGGAGAGGTTGGATCTTCTTGCAGTCCATGGGACTCTCAAGAGTCTCCTCCAGCACCAGAATTCAAAAGCATCCATTCTTCGGCGATCAGCCTTCTTTATGGTCCTGCTCTCACTTCCATACATGACTACTGGGAAAACCAGAGCTTTAACTATACAGACCTTTGTTGGCAAGGTGATGTCTCTGCTTTTTAAGATGCTGTCTAGGTTTGTCATGGACTTACTTCTGAGCAAATATGTTTAAGATTGCTCCGCTAGATTTGTGCCTGCAAGTGTTTAATCCTACCACTGTGTCTTAGATTTTAAAACTTTTAAATGACAATTCAATCATTTTTGTTTAAAATACTTTACTGGTTGCCTTTTCTTTTGCCATCCACTTTGGGGGAAAGATGGTAAAATCTATATATATATTTAAAAATATGATTTGGACCTTTTGTGTAGGTTTGTGGACACCCCAGGCCATTTCTCCTGGACGGAGAGTTATTACCGCTCTACCATGCCTCAAGGCTCGCAGGCGAGAGAATATGGCCGTCCGGAAGTTTTCCAGCAAATCTGGGATATCCTCGATCATCAGTGAGTAGCAAGATGGATGAATCGGACGGGGGATTGTCTGGTGTGGGGGTGTGTTATGTTCAACTTCTTGAACTGGAAGGGCCTTGGAGTCCCACCCAACAGTTGCTCAATATGCCGAAAGTCAGAGGCAGCCAGTTGATTTCTCCATCTAGCCTAATAGTGTCTTCTCAGACTGGCAGCACCTAAGCTGAAGGTGCTCGGATCGTAACTCAGTGGTGGAGCATACCTGCCTTGCGTCTCCAAGTAGTAGACCTTCCACATGACCATATTTTCCAGGGACAGTCCTGGATTTACCGATGCCATCTCGGTTTCTGGTTTGAGGACGCTGGGCGAGATGGGCCTTTGGCCTTTGGCCTGATCCAGCAACCAGACTCTCCTTGTGTGGGCTTCCATCTTTGATGTCCAGTGAAACACTTTTCAGACCCCTCTCCTATTCCACAGGCCCATCTGCTCAGTCCAGCCCATTGACTTGAATTTCCTGGAGGAGCAAACGGAAAATGGCCCCACGAACAAAATCGAGATCAGCATGGATTGCATTCGGATGCAGGATTCGGAGATCAGAGACCCAATGTGGGTGAGTAGCCAATGTCAGCATGCTGCGGTTAGGATGTAGGGCTAGGACCCGGAATGCTTGGGCCAATCACGGATGCTTATCTTAACCTGCCTCGCAGGGATGTTGTGAAAATAAGATGAGTGTCTGTGTCTTGAGGGTGAAGGGAGAACCACACACTCTGCCTTGAACTCCTGGGACGAAAGGTGGGATATAAATAAACCATAGTCCAGGGCATATGTGGAAAGAAAGGTTGGGGCTTTTTAAAGTACCAGTTTATCAAAGAAGATAAACGAGGTTCAAAGTGGTGGTTGCATGAAAAATATCGTATGTGTGGATGTGCAGTGCTTGCTCCCTGCCAAAGGTTTTGGCAAGCTGTACTTGATCATGCATCATTTTTTGGCTTTTAATTACCTGCAGCCTCTTTGAATGGGAGGGATGTTCTTATTGTGCCTCTCAAAAATAGGATCGCGCCTTAGAACTTCCTTCGTTTTCTTTCATGCTGGTTTTAACATATGTGTTTCTTGGTTGTAAGTCACGACGAGTTCCCTTGGTGAAAAAGTGATTCTTAAACTTAATAAAGCGAGAACAACCCCGTGGCGGAGTTCTGTGCATCGCAGAAGCTTGTGTGCGTTCTTTCGAACTTGGGTCCTAATCAAGAGGACCCCACCACTTTTTTTTTTATCCCAACCTCAGGACAGCTGTCTTGTTGCCCCAAACCCAAAGTCCTGCTCAGGTTTGCAGGAGAGAACGACCTTTCCTCTTTCCCCCTTCTGCATTGCCGTGGGTTGGACTAGATGACCCTAGGGTCCCTTCTGACTCCTTTCCTCTCCTTTTTGGTTGAAGTTAAATCCTTTGAAGACAGAGGTCCTTTGGCTGGGTCGGGACAATATGAGATTGGGGGGGCAACTCCCATCTCTTGCAGGGGTGCAATTAATGCCAGCACCATCCGTTAAGAGTTTGGGTGTAATCTTCGACACCTCCCTTTCCATGGAGGCACAGATTGCAGCTATAACAAAGGTGGCATTTTTTCATCTCCACCAAGCTAAGCAGTTGGCTCCTTACCTCTCTCGCCCTGACCTAGCCACTGTGATCCACACAATGGTCACCTCCAGACTGGATTATTGTAACTCGCTCTACGTGGGGCTGCCCTTGAGACTGACCCAGAAACTCAAGTGGGTGCAGAATGCCGCAGCGAGACTCCTTACGGGGTCCTCACCGTGGGATCACATTCACCCGGTGCTATATCAGCTGCACTGGCTCCCGGTGGAGTACAGGATCAGGTTTAAGATGCTGGTTTTAACCTTTAAAGCCCTATATGGCCTAGGACCCTCGTACCTACGGGACCGCCTCTCCTGGTATGCCCCACAGAGAACCTTACGGTCTTCAATACAAAACACCTTGAAGGTCCCAGGCCACAGAGAAGTTAGGCTGGCCTCAACTAGAGCCAGGGCCTTTCTCAGCTGTGACCCCGATCTGGTGGAACGCTCTGTCACAAGAGACTAGGGCCCTGCGGGACTTGACATCTTTCCGCAGGGCTTGCAAGACGGAGCTGTTCCACCAGGCCTTTGGCCAAGGCACAGCCTGACCCGCTCCTTCGGTAATTCACATAGAACTCTAGCCCAATGGTTGCCATGAATTTGATTTGAACTGATTTTATAATGAACTGATTTTAGAATGCTGTGTTATTTTAGTGTTGTTAGCTGCTTTGAGCCTGGCTTCGGCTGGGGAGGGCGGGATATAAATAAATTATTATTATTATTATTATTATTATTATTATTATTATTATTCGTGAGCGTTTGCTCAGCTGCTGGGAGACATGCTCTTCCCCAGCTCTGTGCCCCAGGCGGGCTGCCTGCTGCTGCCGCCGTCCTCCTGGGAGCGTGGGGCCTGCTCCTTCCAGGCCGCTGCCTCCGAGGCATGCCGCTCTTGCGATTCAGAGCAACTCTGGCGTGTGGCTCTAATCTGCTGTTGACTCAAGGCCCGCCGCTAAGTGCTCTCTGCCCCCGTCTTCCCTGCAGAAATATGCTGCTCTCCCGGCCCTCTGGCTCACGCCCCCTGCACCCATCCATCCAATTCATTCAGTCGCTCATTCATTCACAAAAGGCTTTTGGCGGCCACCACGGTCTCGTTCCTCCTCCCGGGACTCTGTGCAAACAGTTTGTTCTGGAAACAGGGGAAAGTTTGTCTCTCTGCCCCCGCTCCCACTCCCCTCTTTTCTATTTATTTAATAAATTGTCAAACATCACTTGACAGGTGGCAGCCCAGCCTGGCGGAGGAGTCGGCTGTTTGCTTTGCAATTCCCCAGGAAGGCAGCGAGAGGAACCTGTCGCCCCAGGCGAGGTGTTTTGCTGCGTTTAATCAGAAATGCAGCCCTTGCCTTGGCCCTTTCTCCCCCTCCTGCTTTCCCTCTGCGTCGCCCCAGGCCAGGCGGACGCCCAGCACCTGCCACTGGTCTCACCCTGCGGTGCCACTTCAGAAGAGGCAACGGCCTCTCTCTCTCTCTCTCTCTCTCTCTCTCTCTCTGTATCCGTAAAACTCTCTGCCAGGGCAAGGGAGGGTTGGGAAATGGGGGCAGGTAAATATATAAAGGAATGTGGAGGTGCAAAACCTTCAGGGACAGAGCTGGCGGTAAGAAAGCAACGGGATAGCTCAGTCGGTAGGAGATCGAGACTCTTAATCGCGGCATCAAGGGTTCGAGCCCCACATTGGGCAAAAAGATTCCTGCATTGCAGGGGGTTGGCCTAGATGACCCTCGGGGTCCCTTCCAACTGATGATGATGATGATTTATTGTTTAAACCCTGCCCATCTGGCCAGGTTTCCACAGCCACTCTGGGGGGCTCCCAACAGAATTGATGATAATGATGACGATAAAACGATGAAACATCAGGCATTAAAAACTTCCCTAAACAGGTCTGCCTTCAGATGTCTTCTAAAAGTCAGATACAGTGGTACCTCAGGTTACATACGCTTCAGGTTACAGACTCCGCTAACCCAGAAATAGTGCTTCAGGTTAAGAACTTTGCTTCAGGATGAGAACAGAAATCGTGCTCTGGCGGCGCGGCGGCAGCAGGAGGCCCCATTAGCTAAAGTGGTACTTCAGGTTAAGAACAGTTTCAGGTTAAGTACGGATCTCCGGAACGAATTAAGTGCTTAACCTGAGGAACCACTGTAGTTCTTTATCTCCTTGACATCTGATGGGAGTGCGTTCCACAGGGCGGGCGCCACCACCAAGAAGGCCCTCTGCCTTGTTCCCTGTAACCTCACTTCTCACAGGGAAGGAACTGCCAGAAGGCCCTCGGAGCTGGACCTCAGTGTCCGGACTGAGCAATGGGGGTGGAGACTCTCCTTTGGGTATACTATGCTATGATTCCATGGAAGAGAGGGCTGTCGAAGGCAACCAGCCACGATGGTTTTGCTCCCATGCTGGACAACATAAGAAGAATCTGCTGGCTCAGGCCAATGACCCATCTAGTCCAGCCAATGGCCAAGCAGTTGCCAGTGGGAAACCTGCAAGCAGGATTCGAACACAAGAGCAACTCTCCCCTCCTGCGGTTTCCAGCAGCTGGCATTCAGAAGCATCGCTGCCTCCAACCATGGAGCAGGACCATCCTGCATAGCTGTCAAGCGTCCCTTATTCGGCGGGACAGTCCCTTATCCCAGTGCCGTGTCCCGCTGCTGTCCCTTATTGATGATGTCCCTTAAATTTCCCGGGTTTCAAAGGAAGCAGCTCCTCTCCCTCCCTCCCTGCCGGCCAGGGAGGAGGGAGGCTCCAACTGTGTTGCTTGGCTGCGTTGCTCACCCAATAAGGAGTCTAAGAACGACGGGGGGGTGGAGCTTGCATGCCTTGTGCCAATCCAATTGGCCGCGTTGCCTGGGGACTCGCCTTTGCTCAGCGCTTCCCAGCGGAGAGGTGACGGTGGTTTTCCTTGTTGCATCCCCTTTGCTGGGTTGCTGCGCTGTGGGAACCACCGCTTGAGGCTCCGTTTGGCTGCTGGCTGGGATTTCTGCCTTTGGCTCGGAGGGGCTCAGAAGTTCAACATACCTGTGCCCCTTGGGAAATCCCTTATTTTGGCTGCTGATCCCTTATTTTCAAGGCTGCTGGTCCCTTATTTTCAAATCTGTAAGTTGACAGCTATGCCATCCTGGCCAGGAGATAGCCACTAATAGCCCTCTCCTCCTCCAGGAATTTGTCCAATCCTCTTTGAAAGGCATCCAGGCAGGAACGCTTTTGACCGCCAGTTCCTTGCCGGCTTGTGCTTGCAGCTTTCCCACTGGTTGGGCAACTTGGACGTTGGCCGGATCCAGTAGGCTCTTCTGATATTCTTGGATGTCCCAGGCGGCCCACCATGTTGTTGTTGTTTCCCCCCCAAATTTTTTATTCATTTTATAACACAAATAAAAAACACAAACAGAAAAGACAAGCAATACGAACAAATTCTTGTCATATCCTTAATTTTCTAAACATTGTTAAGTGGGCTTCCCCAAGTCCCACCTATCTGATTTTCATTTTACTTCATCTTTAGCATATTTCATATATCATAATTTCTAACCATCTTTTTTTTTAATCACACTTAAAATAACTTCACATTTTATCACTTACAAATAATACTATTTTAAAATACCCTATCTTCTACTTCTAACGCTGCAGCCTATATCCACTTCCAAAGCTATTCTAAGGTTTAAATATTAACATATTTTTTTCAGATATTCCTTAAACTTCTTCCAGTCTTCTTCCACTGTTTCTAAATTTATTGTTGTACATTAATTGTCTGTTTTAACCATATTTGCACATCAGTTTCTAATGCTGTGAGTGTCCTTTATTTCAGAGGCTTCTACTCTGCAGCCTCTTATAGTTGTTTTAACTGTGAGTCTTTTGGTTCTTACGCTCTTACAGTTGTTTTAACTGCATGTTTTTATTTGTTTTTAGTTCTTATCTGTTTTAATTATCAGTTTTTATTCATCCATTAGGACGCGGGTGGCACTGTGGGTAAAAGCCTCAGCGCCTAGGGCTTGCCGATCG